TTGAGGTGCTCACACAGCTGTATAAAAGAACATTTCCTCCCATGTACACTTTCCCAATGTACACTAAGATCATCTACAAACAACTTTCTCTGTGAGCCACTTCTAAAAGAAGAGAAAGGGGAGAGCCTTCTCAGCTGTGGCACGATGACTATGGATCAAGCTCCCCAGGGAGGTGCACCTGGTGCCAACCCTTTACATATTCAGCACCAAGTTAAAACCTTTTTATTCTCTTGCTATTTTAATTGCTGAATAGGATGTTCTGCTTTTTATACTGGTTTTTATTCACTTAATGATTTGTGCTGTGCATTAGTTATTATATTGTGGTACATAGTATCATTATTTACCTGTTTGTTGAGAATTTGGAATTTTACAATTATAGTTGAAGTATTAGATAATGTTATTGATATGATGCGCTTGCTTTAAATATTTGGACTGATTGTACACCATTCTGATTCTCTTTACTATAGAATGGTATCTAAAAGTTTTAAATAAATAATTCATAGCTGGTGTGGTTATGAGAACTACCTGCCCTCAGAGATTCATCTATTTTCCCCACCTCAGCTTTAGTGTGTGTTGTTCAAAGCCAGGTTTTTGTCTACATGCTAGTGGAACTTGCTAGTGGTATTGACTTTCCATTGTTCGACTGTTTTCTTTGCTGCTTTTTATATCTTATTTAAAAGTGCAATGTTTAGGAACTGATTTCTTTATAGCTGTCTCATGTATTTCTGTAGAACTTAAGCACTGAAACTGAATTCTTCAAAGTACATTTTAAAATGTGCCCAAATCCAGATGGGAGTCATGTTCTCCAGCCCGAGATCCCTGTGGTTGGTTGACAGCACTGAACTTAGGAAACGATAACCCTTTTGCCCACAATATAGCAGCAGATACTGTTTTGTTGACCTGGCAAAAACAAAATACTAAGCTATTGTTTTAGACTGAGCTTGAGCAAATTCAAGATGCTTCCAATTTGCCAATTGCAGGGTTTGATTTTACACTCTCCTACTTTGCTTGAAGAGGCTGAAGTTTAAGTTCATATGGCCACAGCTTACAGACCCTACCTTACACCATGAAGTTATTAGCTTAAGCTCTGGAGTCCCTATACTAAGCCTAATTCCTGCCAGCAATTATGAAATTTTTTCTCCTTCAAGGAATGAATTATATTCATCTATATAGCAGCTCAGTGATTTATTACTAAAATTATCACTATAACATCCTAGGTATTGATGCTTACAAGAGCCAGTATGGTGTAGGCGTTACATGGCCGGACTAGAACTGGAAAGAGCAGTGACCATATCCTCCACTGTGAAGCTTTCTGGGTGATCTTGGATGAGGCTCCATTTCTCTTTAGTAACCCTATCCAGAAAGGTTAGTAAAAGGTCAGATACTGAAGATGAAACTCAAATACTTTGCCCACCTAATGAGAAGGAACAGCTCATTGGAGAAGACCCTGGGAAACTGGGAACTATTGAATGTAAACGGAGAAGTGGATGACAGAGGTTGAGGTGGCTAGATGGAGTCACTGGGGTGGTGGGTGTGGGCTTGGGTGGACTCTGAGCAATAGAGGACAGGAGAGCCTGGAGGAATGTTGTCCATGGGGTTGTGATGGGTCGGGCATGGCTTTGCAACTAAACAAAAAACAAAAACCCTATGTAAATGGGTTACTAAAAGGAAAAATGGGGGGGGGGGGAGTAAATGAGGCACACTGCCTATCAGAGCATTTTTGAGTATGGACAGGACAAGAATGTTGTAATCAATCATGAATATATGCTTTAACAACAATTTTCATTTCATATACATTCAGATACACCACTGGAGAGGCATTTTAATTCTTCATTTATGAAACAAATTATGTTTTATTTGTTTTTGCTTTCTTGCTTAGTGACTGAAAACAAACCATTCAAGAAATGAGAAATATTGACTCAGTCAACTGTTAACCAAGCAGGAGTAAAACCTTTCATCCATCTGGATTTGTATCAATACTGCCACTGCTTTCATTAATGTAGTTCACATGTATTTCAAGTAATCTAGATATGCTAAGACAAAAATCATGATTCAACAAGAACACATTTCCCAAGCTTATCTACTGAATAAAAAAACTGCAACTCAAGTATCACTTACCTAGTATATGGACTTGGTATGATTGTGCAGAAGAAACCAAAGAGTATTTATGAAATTCTGAGTTCTACTGCAAAATATTTTATCATGAATGCATTGCTTTAAAAAACCTGGTGTAATTTCAAATGATCTAGCTTGATAAAGGGAAATACAAAAGTCACTCAAGACAATTTCTTTATTTATATAACCACACTGATAGCAGTTCCCATGATCAAAGATTGCAGAGGTAGTGGTTTCAGAATTCTTTTCCTGGATCAATCTCTTTTCTTCATGGGTTGGAATCTTAGCGGCCGGGCAGAATCGGGACATTTTTATCAAGCACTTTAAAAAAAGAACTGCACAACTGCTGTGGCCCATATCTTGATCAGCTCTCTTAGCAGGTTGGTATTTTAGTGCAACTCCAAATGATATAATTAGATCTTACGTAGTTGAGTACTTTGCTATTTAAGTGTGCATTAGACATGATTTTCAGAATAGTGACAGATTATTGTATTTCTGGTCTCCATCACTTTTGCACAAGTAAAATCATCATTACAAATCCATTCTCTCCCATACCATATTAGAGATTTTAATACACACACATTCAAATACAGATGCTTGGTTTTTTCCCGTCTAAAAATGCATTTTAACATGCATTTTGATACATTTTTCAAATGAAGAAGTGCATTGTAACATTTGAAGAAGTGCAAAATCGAATGGATATTTATGTTCTGATCTGCATATCAGGGTAAGATCAGGGCAGTTCATACTGGTATTTGCAAATATCAAATTCCTCAACCATTCCATCTTTACAATGTTTTAAATACTGCATGTTCTTCTAGAAATAACACTAAAGCCATTCTGCAAGTGGCACTCCTATGCATCTAAACTTCAGTTTGCATACACTAATTCTGACCATCCCTGGACTGTTTAGATAAGTAGGTTTTAAATCACTGAGTAACAGAAAACGGAACAACAGAAAGCTGAACTGAATCTTCAGTTTACAAAAAAGGGAGAAAGTTACACTAACACTGGCAGCACTCAATAGATACAATCATGATAGAATAACATGTGAAAGATAATGGTTCAAATGATTACGATATACCAAATCACATATAATCTACTTATTCAGATTGTATCCCAACAAGAATTAGAAATCTGTCACCCTACAAGATGTAGGCTTTTGTTTTTGAACCTACATGAGAAACATGCTATAAAATTTCTTTTCCTCAAAAATAAAATTGGTGCATTCTTTAACACATTTGCTATTTCACTTAAGCCATTTATGAATATGAAACAAAATCCAAACTGTCCATGTGCCAGCAGGACACAATGAGAAGCAAGTGCTCACTAAAACTACAGGAAACAAGTCAAAATGCTCCTTTATGGAAACGGTTGGGTCAACAGAGATCACATTGTTGTGCTCACCTGTCCCATTCCAGAAGTAAGCATTCCAGCACATTTCCTATTTTGCTTCAGGAAACACTACAGTCAGTCCATTGGATGCAACAGAATAAATTAAGAGGCAGCAGTAATAGTGAAAACCTCCTATGGTTTCCATTTATCTAGGAATATCTGCTGAAAAGTAGATTAATGCACAGGTGAACACTGGTAGAATTGGGAGCTGTAGAATCTATGTTTGAAAACAGCTTTAGCTTGCAAAAGAAAGGCTACACAAGAGACAGCAAAGTGGAAGTTGAGCATAGGAGACCAGATTCAATTGCCTTCTCATGTATGCAGCTCTCTATCCATGCATTCAGGCAGCCTTGTTTCACAGCCTACTGTGAAGTTTAAGATGCGGAAAGATACAATGAAGCATGATATAAGATAGTTGGGAGGGGGTGAAAGGTACTAAATAAGGTTTTCATACGAAATACTAGGAAAATGAGCTTGCTTGCAAGCATGCTTTCCTAGCTTTGTTAAGGAATTATTTGCAAAACAGACAGCAAGTCTCACTATTTTCTTCTGTGTATATTTATCATTATGAAAGATCAAGGACTGGAAAATCATCAATAATCAGCTATGTACAGAAGAAATAACTACCTTTGAGATTATTTAAAAATGCTTCTGGAAAATTAGTTGTGGCAACTCGTTGCTTAAAGTGCAAACTGCTTACCATACACACATCAAAGTGTGTGAATTTTCTCATCAAGCTCATGATCCATTATTGCCTTCTGAGTATATTCATATGAGCTAATTCAAATGTTTTTCTCAGAGTTACAACTAATTAATGTAGGAAAAACACTGTAGAACTGACTCCTCTAAAAATAGTTACATAATTCAGTGCTCACTTCTGATAATCTCAGTAACATTTTCTCAAAGGATGCATGTTGTTCACCATACCAAGTACAAAAGCTGCCTGATTTGTTAATGATTATACAGACCAAGTTAGTGATTAACTTAGGTTTTTAGCACTTAGGTGCTGATTTCAGTTGTATGAAGTACAGTCTAAGTATGACAAAGTCTGGATGCGACGCAGATGCTTGAAGACTTTGCCTGAGCTCACTATTTAGAAATAAGTACCGTTGACAAGTTGCTCTTTCACACAGTCAGCAGTGGATTCCTATACTGGAGAATTTATATAAATGGTGCAAATTTGTACATTATCATATTTATGAAACAGACAACTAATGGCATATTTTCCAGAATTATTTTTCACAGAGGAAACAGAATAACTCATTTATCAATTACTGTTTCATCTAAAAAAAAATAAAAAAATTAATTCTGGAAAAAGTAATCTGGTGCTCTATAACATGTGTGACATGTGACTAAAAGTGTATACAAAATAGAGCAGGTGATAAGGAGAGAGGGAACTAAGAAACAAATACTATTCAGTCATACATCAGACAAATGTGTTTGAATAAAGATGTGCTTCCAACAACTTGGTTCTATATTAAATCCATGTTTATTGCTTAAGTTGTATCACAGTGGAGATTAAATTATTCTTAATCATCCGGTCAGTGCTTGTGTACCTTCTTCAATACGAAAAACATTAAAACCAATGCATTCATACACTCTACGTCCTGTCACTCTCCCACCACTCATTGCCTCTTTGTATTCCCTTAGTTGCCACATACTGATAAGATTGTAAAAAGATAAAGCTAACAGGCTTATTGATAATACCATTTTCTTCAAGTATCTGGAAAGCAGTACAATTGCCTGTACTGAATATTAGAAACATATTTGCAATGCTACTTTATTGCTATAAGATAGAGGCTCCTGATGGGATGATTATGAAACATCATGTCACTGTGTACGAAGATGATTTTAGTATTCTATGGTTTTTTCCAGAACTCTTCCCATGTTAGTGAACAACACTCAATATAGACTGCCCCTCCCTCCCCCCAAGGATGGACATGGGATATCAAACTGCAAATAAATAAAGTGTACACTCACAACATGTGCAGTGCAAATTTCAAGTAAACAGAATGACATGGGAATTGATAAACTAATAGTTGCCAACTCTGGTGTAACAGGACAGCTTTAAACTTTGTTCAATGCCCTATTTTCCATTTTCTGCTTAAAATCAGAAAAGCCCTGTAGTGGTTACAGTGATTGAAAGAGTGTTGTGCAGAAAAGGAAGCTATGAATGTGAACAGAGGCAAATTTTCTAATTAGTTTTCTAGGTTTAATGTCATGCATGATATCAAACCTCTACAAAGACAGTGGGAACTGACCAAAGGATAACCTCCATTCTATTCAGAGAATTGTTGTTGGCAACTCTGTAACATGGATTGTGTGGCCCAGACTAGTATAAGGAACACAGATAGAACTAAGTGAACCTCTGAACCATTGTGGTTTTGGAAAAAAATGTAATTGGAATAACATAATAGCAAAGACATTCAACTTTCTAACAAACCCCTAAAGTGGTTTGATTCTGCTTGCTCAAGGGACAAGGTAAAACCTTTTCCAAAGAGCATGGGGCAGATCTCTGCCTCATATATTTTTAAAATCTATTTATTCTATCCACACAGCCCTTTTAATTATTAGAATCAAATACCTTTACAATGGCATAGATTATGGATATGGGGAAATGTAGAGAACAAAACTAAAATATACATAAATATAAAATTACAGCTTATGGTATTCTTGTGCAACTTCCTTCTCTCTAAAGAAATGGAAGAGAAAGGGAGGGTTTAAGTGAATATCAAAAGAATGGTATATTATCATATTCTTTAGTACCTTTTAAGAATATGACTTGTATGGCTGCATAATAATTCTGTCATGTGTTTATTCCTATGTACCAAACACCAGGAAAGATGACTTTCATGAACATCATTGTCAGATAACATATTGAACCTTATATAAATAAAATATAGATCTCTTTGCTAAAATATGAATGAGTGTATGAAAAAAGGAAGAACTTTTCCAAGTAAAAAGAAATAACTCCTTATCTGGGACGCACACATTTAGATTCACAAATGGAGAAGTCATAAATATATGTGTTGAATTACTTCAGAGAATTAAGGCTTCTAAAAAACATCAGTGCCAGAATAACCTTTCTGCATCAGTATTAAGAATAAAATACATTTTGCATTTTAGGTTGTGCTTCATTTTTTCTAAAGATTTTTCTTAGTTCTGCAGAATTTAATTGCATAAGATTACATACTGTAGGGGAGCATTAGAACTGTTTATTGTTTTACTTTAAGTAGGTGTTAGACTAAGTTACAGCTATAAAATTCAATTAGAGAATTGGTTCATTGCTAATGTACATTGGGTAGTTGGCTCATTTCACCTTTTTCTCATGTTTAATGTGGCCATTTCTTCTATACTTGCCATTTGGTATCCCATTTTGGTAATGTCCATTAATAGTAGTATGCTCATCAGTTGACCAAAGATGTTTGCTTTGCTTGCAGATGAATTTTGCTATCCTGACCAAAACACAGCAGAGTAAGGCTGTACCAAGCAGTACAGCAGCAGCAATATCCAGTAAGAAATACTGATAGAAAGAGACTCTGTAAACTGCGGCACGTAGATGCTGTGCTCCATTGTGACGAAGGATATAATTAATCCAGTAGACTGTTCGATCAACAGGGTGACCTGGTTGATCTTTATGAATTTCAGACAGCTTTTGGGCCTGTTGTCTGTAGCTGAGAAACAACAGCAAGAAAATTTCAGCATATTAGGTTAAGCCTTACCTGAATTTGCATTATCATATTCAAACATAATTTTATGCAGGTTAGACTATGGCTGCTGCAGCTATTTTCTAAACTTTTATTTCCAGGTCAGTGAAAGCTTAACAATAATAATAATTAAAAAAAAGATTCGCTTACCTGGGATCATTAATAACTTTCACCAGTGTATTATATAATTCATCATCAGTAACTGTCTTCCAGTTTAGTAATATCCCCATGCCTTTGGCCTGCACTCGGGTCATGGTGTCATAATGGTCTCCAAAAAGAGGAATTCCCACCACAGGTACACCATGGTACATGGTTTCAAAAATGCTGTTCAGACCACCATGACTAAGGAAAGCCTTAATATTAGAGTGACCTAAAGCAGCAAAAGGTGAGGTACAGGAAGGAAAAAAATCATGCAATTGTAAAATACCATAAAATATAGTTGAAATCCATGTATATGAAACAGACATGCACATAAGAGTTAGCATAAGAATATGAAGACTCCCTAGCTTCCCTTGAGCTTTTGTTGTTTTTTCCCTGCAGACGACAACCACATAAGAGTTTCATTCCTGCTGTCATGACTGGAATGCAGGAAAACAACTACTTGCCAAGCATCTTCTCCTTCTGATTGTTCAACTATACAAGATCAAAAACTTGTCTCCTTTCTTCCTAGTGTTGGCAAGAACAAGTTAAATCAGCAACATAACTTTCCTAATGATGACAATTTTGAGAGTGGTTTAGGGTGCAATCCAGTTGGGGTGCCCATTTCACTCCAAACTGTGGATTGCACACTTCCTATGAAGGCTGGGAGAAGCACAGGTGTGAATTGCTAGACAGTTGATTTCAGCACCCTGGGGTGGAGGGAAGGAGCCTGAAGTGCCACCAGGGCAGTTTGTATCTTAGAAGTACCTGCTTCCTCTTCTCACCACCATCCCAGAAAACCTGCTAAAGCCCATCTCTGAAGTTGCTCATGTGACCTTGCAGACACCCAGCTGGTTCTTTCTGTATCAGCTGTTTGTGGGGAGGAGGTACTCAGTGTACAGAGATCCAGCTGTGAAATCAGAGTGATTTCAAGCTCTGAAAAATCTTACAGCTATTTAGATGCTATCCACCCATATGAAGCAAATGTATATGCCGTGCAGAGAGACAATCTGCCTAAAACATCACCTTTTAAGCAATAATATAGCTGGAATACAACTACAAAATTAACACTATAGTAGAATTATAAAGAAAATGGTATTTATCACCAATGTATTCTTAATCAGTGACAAATATTTATGTTTTACGCAAAAAGCTTCCTAATTCAATATGCTGAGGTGTTTTGTTTAACCCAGTCCTTGAACTAAAAAAAATCTAATAATTCTTTAATTAGTATTTGTTCCCTGCATGCATGAACATGTATCAATAGGTGAGAAAAAGTTGTTTGTTTGTTTAGATACATAACTAAATGTTGAATAAATACGCTCATGCACCAGGCTGGTGCCAAATTCTTCCTCCTCAAGGATCAGAATCGTACTTTTGGTTATTTAGGGTACTAGAGTACTACAGGTATCCAGTGGAGGGCAGAAGGAGCACAAAGGCAAAGATTATAACTAAGTGTTTTACTCCTGCTCATGAGGAGAAGAGGCTGAGTCACCATCAGAATTCCCAGAACATGAATGCACATGCACACATGCATATACCAGCTCTAGAGCGGCAACCAGTACAGAAAGAACTGTGTTGGCTGAGCAGGCAGGGAAAAGGTGCTCCAATTACCACTTCAATCTCAGAATGTTTTCCTTAGGACAAAGTTTATGCTCCAAATTTCCTTATAGCCTTCTAGGCAGTGTCTAGCAGCTACAGGACTGCACCATGTAAATCAGTGGATCATATAAATGTTCAGCAACTATTTCAGAAACATCTCGTATTTCAATACATAACTATTCCCTATCTTACCAGAAAAACAGATTGCTCATCTCAGTCTGGAGTTGCTCAGCTGAACAATCTCAGGTTATCTATATTTCTATACACATTTAAGTTAATAGCAACCAAGATACATTTAAGTAAGATATGGAGGGAACTGAAATATCACACAAATGATTTAGTATATTCACACTAAAACACATCTTTTAATTCTACTCACCTAATAAGTCGTTTTGTGGTAACCATTCTATAAGTTTTGTATTGTTACCCAAGTTCCTAGGTTTATTTCCTGAAAATCTAAAATATACAAGAGAAAGTAGTTCCAAATGTATTGAAATGGGACATTTATATTTTATATTATTTACATATTAATTTGTTAGCAATTTTCTGCTGTTCAAAGTGATTTGATAAATGCTTAAAATAACTAATATGAAAAAATAAGTCAACATAAACATATAAACATAAAACATGAAGTATATTGGCCCATTAGGATAACATCTAAAAGCCAGATACGTTGAATGAGCAAAACTATTGATGAATTATAATGTAATTAAAAAAACATTAAGTTTCCAAACAAGACAGTTACATTAGATAACTTCTTAGTTCTGAAAGGCAGCATACTGTAACATAGTAACAATGCATAAGAATATTGGGATCGAAATGAAATAACTTTTTATTTCATTCAATCAAGTTTTATATACTTTTAATTTCTTTAAAAATGCCACATATTTCCTTGCCTTGATCTTTTCTAGCCATCATAATTTGCAGGTAGAATTCTGCTGGTTGAAGCAGGTTGGGGCAAGGTACTCCTGGAACAGCTGGGCCCACAGTTTCATATTTTCCTGCCACCTGTGTAACAACCTCCTGGGCAAAATTTGGTTTTCCATGTTTTAATCCAGGAGCCACTGTTCCACATTTAACCCAGGGCTGAATTTCATCAGGGCTGTGGCACTGCCATGCTCTGGCAACACTGTCCATTTGGGGAGCAGCACCCAAAGAAGTATGCTTCCCCACTGCCCATCAGAAACAATAGATGTTCTTCGGGAAAGCAAAGCAAGAAGCATTAGAAGACACTGTTGAAGATATTGGCCTATGAACCTGCCACTTGGCTGGAGTGCACTGAGGCAGACACTGAGGAAATCCTGTATTTTTTTTTTTATTTAGAATATTTTTATCCCGTCCTATACAATCAAATTGTCTCAGGATGGCTAACAATATAAATAAACAATAAATACAAACAATCAAAGAATACAATAACAAGATAAAATGTGACTGAGACTATCAATAAAATCAGATTAAAATTATTTAAGGTAATTTTAAATTATTATTTAAAATTACAATGTTGGACAAATAAAAAGGTTTTTACCTGGCGCCGAAAAGGATATAAAGTCGGCGCCAGGCAAACCACTCAGGGGAGCGCATGCCACAGTCAGGGCGCCACCTCATTTCAGCTCAAAGCTACCTGGTAGTTAGAAAGGCAGAGAAAGCCAGCTCAGCTCTGGCCCAGAGAGAGATAATGGAGGTACTTCATTTTGTCCCTGGTTTCATAATGTCAGCTCAAAGTCAGAGACATAAGAAAGAGAAAAGGGAGTGAGTGGGGAAAAGAGGGGAAGGTGGTTCCACTTGCATTTTGCTCTGGGTCTGCCCACTGCTGTTTCTGGCTCAACCCATCATTTGCTCTAGGTTCCAATAACCTTCCAAAGAAACCAGATTCCTAACCATTGCAAATATCTGCTGTGCTATTATACTTACCTCCAAATAACTCTTTGAGGAAGTCTTGCCAGGGCTTGTGCCAGTTTATTTGCTATATCATCTGATAAATATTTCACTCCTGCTCCAAATGAAACAAGGACAAAGCCATTTTCATTAGCACCATCCACCCATTTTTGAAGATCCTAAAGAAATGAAAAGCTTGCTGTCAAGGCTTGCAAACAATCTCACTATAGTGCTGTCAAGGCTTGCAAACAATCTCACTATAGGAATTATTCCACTGGAAAATAACAGAACAATCCAAAGAACAACATTTTCTTGAAGGTGCAAATGTAAATATTAACCATTTATAAACATTGTATAATTAGGGCTATTAATGAGTACAAATATGGGGCAGAGACAGGGAGTAAAAATATGAGTCAGTGTGATATGCATGACAGTAGGCAAGCAAAAGGAAGAATGTTTTCATCGGTTCCTATAGAACTTCCTGTAGGGCTTGGCTTGGCTGGGCTTGGCTTTTCTCTTCTCTTTTCTCTTCTTTTTGGGGGGTGGGGAGACTTCAGATTAGATGAAGGACAGAAGCTGGATCCTGCCTCCCAAACCCTTAAGTATGTGTTGAACAATAAGATCAGGAGCTAGGCAACTTACTGAAGGCCTACTATGTATCCATCATCCATCACCATCTTATGCAAAGCTGCGTAACTATTCCTGGGGTGACAATGGAAAAATGTTTTGTATATGGGGACTCCTATACACACCCAAGATGGATATAGGTGCATTCAACAGAGATGCCTGGTCCCTGGAAGTCCCTAAATGCCTGCCTTGTGTACTCTGAGAACTTTATACCCTTGCTACTCTTCATGCAAAGATACAGTTTGCACCTAAAGCATGTAGCATGGAAGTCATTTGTTTGCTGTTCTTAAATATTATTCTCAGGATGCAATCCTATTC